AATTACAACTCGAGGAAAGCAGAACGGAAATAACAGCTCGCGGAAAGCAGAATAGAAATGACAGCTTGGGGAAACCAGAATGAAAAGAATAGCTCAGAGAAACCAGAATGAAAAGGATAGCTCTCGGACAGCTCAGCCAACCTTTTCATCTCTTGTCCCCATTCTCAGCTTTGTCTGTCTGTCTGTGTGTCTGTCTGTCTGTTTCAAGGTTGTTCAATCTGAGTGTATGTTTGTGGGCACAAAACCACGTGTGCGTATGGTGTTTTGTGTCTGTGATATGAAATGTGACTGCACGAATATTTTCTGATCGGAATAGTCAAATGCTGAGACTTTGTTGGATGTGAACTTGCAAATGCGTATTTTGCTAGTCTTCCGCTTTTTCTTTTCGAAAATTCCATCATTGAGTAAAGTAAGGAACATAAACTCATGGAAACCTCAAGGCAAACGGTACAAACGAATTAAAACAAGAAAATGTGGAGATGACAAGAGGTGGGGGTGGGTTTTTCTTTTTAAAAGATAACTGGCACCTTAGTATCGTAACATAGCTCCAGTCCACTGTATTTAATTGTAGTAGGAGATGTTTTATGCCCCCATCGACTTAATTCTAAATAATTGAGGGAAGCGGGCTGCTTCGACCTTGCCTGTCAGGGCCAACCCAGGCTCAAAGTGATTCAAAGTCCCAGGAAAAACACAGGGCCATGGAAAAGTGGTAGACACCATTGATAGAGCAAATAGAACATTTGGTTTTATTTACCTCATGGTCGAAGTAACTCAAAATGCCCTAAATGTCAGATATAATTTATAATTCTAGGGTAGCTGTTAGGCAAAGTCCTTGTCAGTTGAAAACTGCCGTAATATACAATTAATGTAGTTCCTTTTTTTTGTACAGCGATAAAACGTTATCATTGCATCATTTTTAGAGTATAATTTTTCTTTCATCCTTGAAACAAAAAGATCTGATTATTCCCTTCACAGACCTAAGCTCCTTATCAAACCGTTGAATTCTGCCGGACTAAAACAACTGGGATTGAAGTCGATTTGTGTAAAATCTGGATTCTCATCCTTAACCAAAGACAGTGTTTAGGGTGAGAAGCAGTCTTTACACTAAAACCAATGGTTTTATAATAGTTTTTGGGCAGTTTCGTTTAAAGACTGAATGTCAAAATGGATTGTGATCGGGATACATTTTTCAGGCTGCACGAGAAGCTACAGTTGTGTTTTTTAAACATTTATAGCATTAACTCATTGACATAATATAACTACTATTGATAAATTACTTATTATGGATAAAGAGTCACATATCCCTAATCGTTTAACGTGTTAATCTGAATTATCAAAACAATGTTTTACTTGGAACTATTGGCGATGGTGTATGACAATTTCTGTATTTGGTTCATATCGACTTGAAAATAGGCCACCTTTTCAATTAGCTAAAACGCAAAAACTGATGACATTCATGAAATCAGCTTCCCTAAATTAGCTTAGACCAAATGTTACAGTTTCAGTCAGAGTTTTACGGCACTTACAAAACAATAATTCTATGATAATGTAAGTGCCAAAGATAAGAGGTGAAAAACAAGAGAGTAACAAACCAAAAAACGAAGGAGAGTTCAGGACGATAATATATGCTTGATAGTAAAAAAGGAGCAAACCACACCAGAGCACCCGTCAACCACTGGCGCAAGAGGTGACATACAGTAAAGCACGTGTACACAGCATTGTTTCGGACTCCAAGTAGGCCTTAGCTATTTTTTAAAAATCTTAATCAAATTGATCGTAACTCTACGTGCTCGTTTTTAGCGCACATGTTACCTGCACTGCACCTTTTCTTCAAACTATGTAAACGAGAAAATGGTGTCATTTCAAGAGAAAACGTTCATAATAGAAAACGGAATCATAAACAAACATACAAACACAATTTTTCGATAAAACTTCCCTACCGTTATCAGACCCCCCTAATCTCTACACTCCGTGAGGCCATAATTCGTGTATCGCATTAACAACATGTGCAGAAAACGTTTTAAACTTATTGTACGAATGGAGAGTTGACAACGGTTCGCAACCTTAGATTTACTAAGTTCTATCTGCTCAGTACCTAGTTTTTGAGAAATTTGACGTAAAACATTTGAGGTTTCATCACATGTCAAGCTTTTTTAACGACTCCGAATAATCTTGCGGCTTTAATAGAGCAGATAGAGCATTTGGTTTCTAACCTCATGGTCTTGGTAACTCAAAACGGCCAAAATTGTCAGATAGAACTTTGGAATTTCAAGGTAGCGAGCTATGTCGATCAGTGGAAAAGCGATCAGATTTAAGTTGTGTTTGACTTTTTCCTGGTCAAAAGTTACACTTTTACCCTGAATTGAGGTCGGGTCGACATTCAAATCCTCGCGCTTTCAGAATTTATTGTAATGCCTAAGGACAAACAAAATCCAATGTCCCGATAAATTAGGCAGGAAGGGTTCGATTTATCGGACTACTTTTTTGGACATACAAAAAGATTCCGCCATTTGAAATTTCTTCGGGAATGGAGCCTAAAGCGATTACAATACGACTCTGAGACCAATGCAAACAGATTGAAAGCCAGTAAATTGATGCATTCATTAAGTATCCACCAGGCGGCCCATTCGGTTCTGCCTGTCAGGGCCAACTCGGGTTGAGTGGGATACGGTAAACTATGTGAAATCATACAGATTGAGAAACTCGATAAAATTAGTCTTTCCAAAGCGAGATTCGAACTCATGACTTCTACATGCAATGATTAAGAGTTTAACATTTACACCATAAACGCCGGTCAGCATTATAAGTACATGTATACAGGTTTAGATAGCCTAGAGAATAGATTTAAATGAAGGTGTTTTATGCCCTCATCAACCTAATTTAGATCATTTAGGAGGTGGGCTTCCTACCCTGCCTATCAGGAGTGTAAATACAATTATTGGAAGTTGAAAGAGGATTAAGCAACTCAAAACTTTAAGTAATAGCAGATAATACAATATGTATTACTGAACTTATCAGTCCCTTAAAGATGAAACCTTTTTTCCACGACTCCACAAATGCCAATGTACAGGCTACATGTAATTAAAGTCAAAACGTATTTCTTTTTCACAAACATTGTGTAAATTATTACACTGAAGCTGTTTAAATATAATTCAGTACGACACGGTGTTTACCAGAAAAGTCAATTGAAGCTAACGAGGTCAGATCCCCTCGACGAAGCGAAGCAACACGACAACCATAAATCTCCAAGTGAAGGCATTACTTACTAAGGCGACATCTATACATGCCGTTCTGTTGAAAAGACGTCTTGCGTCCTGTTTCTTCATTCTTTGCTGCTAGCACTTGAAGCAGGGCTGGTTTACGATCTGGGCTCAAGCATGGGTAGATCTAACGTAATTAAAAGTAAGGTGAAAGAACTGCTTATACATGTGGAGAAAAAAAACCGGGGG